CACAATGTTTTTCAGTAGTTTGGGATCAAAAAGATTCATGTATTCAAAATACCACAGCTACTAACTTTTTTCTCATCCTTGCCTTTAATTTTTCTGTTTTTTATAGACATTTCTATGAAGAATTCACCATACCTGAGAGTGATTCCTGAAAATGTCTGAGGGCTCCTGACAATATTTTGGGTTAGGACATTGGTTTCATTTCTGGAAAAAAAAATTTCCTGTGGTGATCTGTCCAGTTTCACTCTATGGTGTCAATTCTGTTGTTGTTACTGTTTTGGTTCTAGCTTTTATGACTGCCATATATTGGTAGAATTTAGTCAGGAAGCAAGTCATGCATACTAGGGTAAATATCCTTTGGTGCTGTCCTGTGGTTCCAAATTAGCTCTGCCTTTCTAAATCAGATTTTATTATTCAGCTGACAATATATGTCCTGTGTATGCCACCTGTCTCAGTTTGAGATTCATTTTGTCTGGATTTAATTTGATGTCCTTTTCTGCAATCTGAAGGAAAGACTGTACTTTCCAATAATGTTCTTTTTTTCTGCTTCGGTAATATTTCTCCAATAATCATGATATAATTTGCAACTTCCTAGCTGTTTCCTCTGAAAAATACAAGGAGATTCCGATTGAAAAAAAAAGTAGTGATTTTTATCAAACAAAAGTTGTAGAGAAAGTTGTCAGTTGAGTTGACTTTTCATTCTATTTCACATGCTAGGAACCATTTCTAACTTCATAATTAATGAATATTCATAATTAGTGAATATTGGACAGCATGTTATGATTCCACCTATTGGTTAATTGCATCATATGAAATTTAATAGCCAGTGATTATGCAAATATGTAATTTCTTTGATGGATTCCTTACTATGAACAGGTTGCTTATCCAGAAAATACTAGATTATGTGGCTGTGATTGTGTTCCCTTTTTGGAATCTTTTGAGTCCTTTTTAAGCAGACTCGTGTAATGCTAATGGAAGACATTTTCCTCCATGGGAAATGCATAGATGTAATAAGGTCAATTTCTAGTTGCAGTTCACTTTCAAAACAAATATTAGTATAGTCCCCATTTCTCTGGAAGGGAGTTTTCATGCCGTGGAAGTTTGTAAAATACAGATAAAATTCTGATGTCGTATTCTGATTCATTGCTTGGATAACTGTGTTGCTGAAGAAGACAGATTAGACCCGTTCTTTCGCAACTACAATGGAAGTCTGTAAGTTTTATTCTTTTTGGGACTTGTAAGTGTCAGATTACATTTCCCTGCTGTCTGCATAATGCTCTTATTGTACATTTTGAGGAGGCAGCTGCTCGACCAAATAATTATGCTAAGGTCTGTTTCATTATTGGGGAATTTATTAAGTCCATTGACAATTATCCTTTCCTGTTAATCCTTGTCAGTTAAAATGATGCTGCCAAGAGTGATGACAACTATATCAGCACAGATGTGAAGATTGAGGAGAGAACCTCAGGACCCTGGAGGCCCAGGTGATGTTCTCATCCATCTCTCCACTGAAAGGAGAAAGAAAATTTTTGCAGATGAATAATTGCCTTCAGTTATGATGTCGGTGGGAACTATATAATTTCTGGAGCTTTGAGCCAAGTTATTTGAATGAAAGACAGCTGGTCCAAGATGGATTTTACTTTACTTGTGTTTTGGTAAAGGATGGCAAACTTGATTATCTGTTTATTATTACAGGTATTGTACTAACAAACTTTCTAGATCAGAGTTTCTCAACCTTGGCAACTTGAAGAAACGTGGATTTGAATGATGATTGAGGAATAGCAGAAGTTAAAGTTCACACAACTTCAACTTGAAGCTGGTTGAGAAACATTTCTGTAGATTATGTGCCATTAACTGCTTCCTGAAAGCCCCAGTACAGCAAGCCTGAATTTTATTTGGGTGTGGAATTCTTTGTATCCTGAGATGTTCTAATGTTAATTCAGTTTGACAGTTTTGAGCTGGTGGAGGATGGAGCCTTCAGTCACCACTGCATAACTAGCTGATGAGTCATGCACATTCCAGTGGCTCACTAACTGGAGGAGGAGGAGAGAAGTTGCCAAGCAACCAGCTTTCATCTTGGCTGGACAATGTGACAGATTGTTTTGGAAACTTGAGAAACTGAAACTTATATTAGGATGAAAAGCCCGGGAGCTTTAGTACTGGCTTTTCACCAGTAGCGCCAAGATGGTGTATCTAAATAAATTTGTTCTTTGAGGAAAAGCAATGCCTCGGAGTTCGATTTGTAATGGGTGCGTTACTTGGAGCCTGATACAGTGGGAATGAAAGCTGACTGTCAGCTGTTAATTTATGTTGTTGTTTATAAGTAAACAATATAAATATAAAAATATTATTTTCATTTTAAAATAAAATAATTACCTAATTACTTAAGTCTTCTTTAATTCTGCACTACATTCTGAACCCTTACATGAACATTTAAAATAATATTTGAAGGAGATGGGTGGTTCTTAAATATGACAAACAACAAATAAAATACAAAGTTCAACATGCATCAAAAAGGAAAGACATATTTGTCATTACTCAATTGCTTCTCACCAGACTACTGATGGAATTCATCATCGTTGTGCTCTCCTTGCTTGTCAACATGGATATATGATCTCCATCCATATCTCCACCATCACTTAGCCCAACCTTCCACCCTTGTCCCAATCTATAAGTCCAACTCAGTGTACAATTACTAAAACAACACACACACATATATACCCACACAAACATACTTTATTAGGGTCACAAGCCAGAATTCATGCAAATAAAAACAATTAGTTATTAAATATAGCATCTAATAACTAATAAAATGTCAGCATACAATGCCCTCTATCTCTTCTACAGGCATCATTTGAAGGATATTGTACTGCTACAAACATGTGTTGCTAGATAATAAAAATTTGCAAGTGAATATGTCAACTTTGTGTTTTTAACCAGGCAGAAGATAAGAGATAAAATATTCATCCAGGCAGCCAGGTTTTTTGTGTAGTAAAGGGATTAATAGCCTTTCCTGTTTTTTATGTAAATTTACATTTTAAGATAACATATTCTATCAGTTTCAGTTCACATGGCCAAATTCTTTGAGGAGCTGGTGTTTTATTATATGTGACTTCTAGAACTGCCCATTGGAGGACGTAAAAGAAGAAAATATCCATTGATAACTTGCAAAGACAAGTGATTTTCAATAGTCTTATGGGACTATTGAAACAGATCTAGCTTGATATATGGGGGAGGGGGGTTTAGAATATTGCAAGTACACTCATGAGAACTCAAACACATACAAATCAACTTTGTACAAGCATTTCAGCTGACTCTAAACATATATCTCTTAACCACATGACAAGTATCTAACCCACTCCAGTCAACTTTCCTGATTGCTTATTTGTAACCTATGACTATCATTAAGTGTTGTACCTTATGATTCTTGATGAACATATCTTTTCTTTTATGTACACTGAGAGCATATGCACCAAGACAAATTCCTTGTGTGTCCAAACACATTTGGCCAATAAAAAAATCTATTCTATTCTATTACTCCATTCATAGTTTCTCATAGTGGATTTCAGATTCCCTCCCCTCTCATTCAGGGCTCTTTCTCCATTTATTCCTCCAAGAAATGTCTATTCCCAGGGTTTCTGCCAGGCCAAGACCACCATAGCTTTGCAATTAATGCTGATTTTTTTTTCAGGGGAAGGGGGAGGGAAAGGATTATTTCTAGTAGTCCCAGAGACCATTGAATTACCACAATGCAAAATGCTAAATGAACTGACAGGTAACTTCCTTTTCATTGGTCACGTCTTTTACTTCAAAACCCAAACAATCTTTTCAAAAGACACTCAATTTTTGAGCTAGTGAACTACTCTAAGCAGACTCTATGGTTGATGATCATTGTATAAATAAGAGCTTTCAGAAAACCAGAAGTTTTGGTAAAGTCAGGAAGAAATGGAGCAGGAAGGAGGTGTGAAAAGACAATGCATGACCACAGAAGGATCTATGGATATTTGTTCCTTTCTCCATCTCCTAATCAAACACTCAGTGCCTTGTGAATCTTACATCAGGGTCCCCAATCCATGGGCCATGGCCCATTACTGGCTGTGGCCTATTCAGAATGGGCCACCTGAGCGACAGGCTGGACCAGTGTGCACAAGCAGGTAGCTCCACTTGCAGCTGAGCTGCATGCATGTGCGTGTGTGCACTGGCCCACCATTCGCATTAGTGGAGCTGTGGGTGCATGCATCAGTGTGCTGCTCACAGAGCCCGGTTACTGTCTCTCCCCCCCCACTCCAGCCAGGCCACCAAGCCAGAAAGGTTGGGGACTGCTGACATACATGACTGATAAGATTCCTACACTGCTAAATAAAGGATTCCCAAGCATTATTTTAGGTCATTTGGTTCAACATATTGCACAGAATATGCCAATGGTTCCTTCACTTACTTTTGCCTAAAAGATGTATGTTTTTTTGTCCAAGACAATGCATTAAGCTTTATTTCTCCCTGGACCACTAAAATAATAAATTTTAATAAAATTATCTTCAAATAAATTACTTTTCTCACTTTGATCAGGTAAAATATTCCTGGTTATATTCTAGACAGGTTAAAAAATTGATATATGTGCCTCAAAACCCTGGAGCTTCAGAAATAAACATTTATACAGTTTTAATTTCTGAGACTAAACAAGGATTCAGATGTCTCCTCATCTTTCTGTCCTTTAGAGTTTAGTTTGCGAAACAGAAATATTTCATTATTCAGTCTGAAGCTTAGATACTAAGTTTGAACCTGATGTTTGTCTCTAAGAATGGTATCAAACCGCAGGTATTGCATGTATCTTGGCAAGGATCCCTCTGGTTTGTCACAGGCGTTTCAGCAAACTTGTTCCCCCAAGAAAATAAATTTCAAACCACATTCCCAGAATACTATAGTCTCTGACATCTCAGCATGGTTGACCAAATATGTATGTGGATTTCAATATGCATATAATACCAATAAAGACAAGAAAGTACCTTTCACAATCAGGTTTCCTGAATTTCTCGCAACTCCAAATTGATTCATTGCTATGCAGCTGTATACACCTGCATCAGATTTGGTAATATTATATATCTTCAGACTGTTATCTTCTAAGATAAAGATTCTGAAGAGGGAGGATTAAAAAATAAACAAAACCATGCAAACCAGTTATTAATATATTATACAGAAGACTAACACCAATAACTGTGATATGTTATTTATAATATTTGGACATTAATCATAGCTGTTGTTGATTACAGCACACTGAGCACATTTCAGCCAAATTTTCACTTCAATGTATCATTGATCATTACATTAGATACAGATTAGACACAGTAGAATGTACTAATTTTCTGTCTTTATAACTAGTCTGCCTCTTTCTCTGGTCAATTTATTCCTGCAGAGGAGGAAATAAATCCACAATATGAGGTCTAAGCTGGGTGTGTTTCTTCAGGGAGTAAAATATGTTTTCAGTCTCAGATAGTGAGCTGATTATAGTAAGAAGTATGAGAAGATGCATTTTTTCAGCATTTATTATTCCTCATTGAGATCGCCACATCTAGTCCTAACAGTCAAACAATGAAATGAATTTAAGCTGATTATTATAGGAAGGTTAATATGTCACACAGTTATAAATAACCAGGTTAAGGCCGCTTATTATTGGTAATAGCAGTTGAAGAAGACAAACATGGATTAAATGATTACATCGGGGCAAGCAAAGGTTATCATTTTATAACTTTCATTTTTTCTGAATGTGATATCACAAAACTGAAAAAAATTGCTAAAAATAATAATAAAATTTAAATGAGTTTTGCAAAGGGAGCACTATCTAAAACACAATACACCAAGAAAAGATATATAGATGGAGGGGGGAGGGGGAGGATGGATGAGAGAGAGAGAGAAAGAGATTACTTGGTCTGTGGTGTGGATATTTGGGTGGTTCAGGCACAGGGAATTTGTGGTGGGGGGGTTGGGGGGTGTTTGGGGATTGTTATGTGTGTTGGGCCTGGTCTTTGCGTGTTATGTGAATTTCGTTGTATGGGTATACTGTGTATACACATACAATGACAATAAAGTATATTTATTTATTTATTTATTAGATAGATAGATGATAGGTAGATAGGTAGGTAGGTAGGTAGGTAGGTAAGTAGATAGATAGATAGATAGATAGATAGATAGATAGACAGATAGATAGATAGATAGATAGATACCCTGTTTTCTCCAAAATAAGACATCCCCTGATAATAAACCCAATTGGGCTTTTGAACGCAAGGCAATAAGGCTAAACGCTTATTTCAGGGTTCAAAAAAATATAAGACAGGGTTTTATTTTCGAGGAAACATGGTAGATAGATAGATGATAGATGATAGATGATAGATAGATAGATAGATAGATAGATAGATAGATAGATAGATAGATAGATATTGATTTATGGAGAAAATGCAAATTAAATTAGGAACCAAAATGATTGCAGATAGATGCCACAAAGTACTTTATAGTGGCATATACTGTACATCTACAGTATTCCAAAGGTATCAGAAAGCCTCAAGATTATAAATTATAGGTCTGGAAATGATATATAGGACTTACAAAAACAGTGTAAATTATAACTAAATTTTTATTACAGGAATGTAGGATCTGATAACAACATGAGATGGTCCTACTATGGGCGACCTGGAGCCTCTACTATCTGATAAGAGGGGCAGTGACACAGTGGTTAGAGTGCAGTACTGCAGGCTACTTCTGCTGACCACTGGCTGCCAGCAATTTAGCAGTTTGGGTCTCACCAGGCTCAAGGTTGACTTAACTCAAGGTTGGGTAAAAATGAGGACCCAGATTGTTGGGGGCAATATGTTGACTCTGTAAACCGCTTAGAGAGGGCTGTAAAGCACTGTAAATCGGTATATAAGTGTAAGCGCTATTGCTATTGCTATTTTTTAACAAGAGTCCAAGTCCATCTTTTCTCCTGATTGTACCACCTTCTAACATTAAAAAATGTCCTCCTCCTCCTCCTTTTTCTTCTCCTCCTCCACCTCTTCCTCCTTCCTTTCTTCTGTCTCCTTTGCCTTTAGGATCATCAGGCAGCTTCAGTTGTCTATTCTGCCTAAAATGTGCTTTGGTTTCATGCAAGAATGTAGAATATTAGTTGTTTTTCACCCATAACTCAGAGAAAGCAGCACAGAGAAAAAAGAATGGAAACAATTACAACATCATAGTTATTGAAGAATGAGATAGACTAGAAGATGAAACAAAATTTTACAAGCACTAAATATTTCAATCATATCAGCTAAGGATTTACCAACACCCCCCTCCCCTCCAAAAAAACCCCACATGTTTTTCTGGCCACTTATCATACATTACTTAGATTATTCCTGGGTTTTTGGCTGAAATTCAAATCTCCAAAGGGAGATGTGATTCTTCTCTTTTTGTTCTTTCTATTGTGTTATTCCAATACAGATATTCAGGTCTGAGAATAGAAATATATTCTTCAGAACATATGTAACAAAGAGCAGTTAGTCACGGCTTTATTTCAGGAGGAAAACTATACCAGCATCTGATGTGTTCGCTTGTTTCTTTGTTTTTAACTAGCCATGTGTCCTTATGCTCAGGGGTGGGCTTCAAAAATTTGAGTAAGGGGTTCTCTGCCCAGTTGCTGGGTGGGTGTAGCCATGGTGGGTATAGCCTAGTCAGGCTCCTGAACCACGGTGTGTGTGGGGGGGTGTTTTTGCCCTCCCCGGGCTCCGGAGGCTTTCCTTGAGCCTCCAGGAGGGCAAAAATGGCCACCCCAGGCCAAACTTCCAGTAGGCCCATTTTTCGCCCTCCCCGAGCCTCCACGCGCACCCTGCACTTATCTGCATCCAAAACAGGACATGTGGGGACTCCTGGGAGGGGATGGGAGGGGTGGGCAGGGTCAGCCAGGAGTGGGATTTGGGGGTTCTCTGAACTGCACAGAATCTTAGCTAGAGGTTCTCCTGAACCCCTGCGAACTCCCAGCAGCCTACCCCTGTTTATGCTGTAATCTAAAGCTTTCCTCTGGCTTATTTATGCAGAATACCAGAAATGCTGTTGTTACAGAGGGGCATATATTTGGTTTATGTTTTTTATTAAATTTCAGTTTGTCTTCCCTCATGCTGTCCATCTTCTAGTGAAAGCCTCTATATCACATTTTGCAAATGCTATTTTTCTTTACTCTCCTATTCTGTTCTTAATTAGGATATTTAGGATTGGTGTACTGTTTTTGTACAGAAGGGAGGAAAATGTACATTCCTCCAGACTGCATGATTGAAGCTCCCATGATTTCTTACCTCTGGCCATGCAGCTCATATCACAAGAAACTACATCTTCTCCGTTGGGGGTTGTAAAAAGGAAATAATTATTTCCAAATTAATACTTGTCTGAGTTAATCCTTTTCCAGCTCTTAAAAGTGGAAGTTCTTGTGACCTGTTACCCACTGTTGGTATATTTTAATGTCTCATTTGAGCTTTTTCCCCCCAAATGAGTGAGTGAGAAAGAGCTAATCCCCAAAACAGAAAATAAATATCATAATAGTCCTTCAATTTAAATTGCAAATCTGTTCCTGCAAATCTGTTCCTGCAAATACATCTCAAGATGAAGAGATGGAAAGAGAAGAGAGGGAGGATCTCTTCTAGACTTAGACTAACTTTATTGTCACTTTAAATATACACTAATCGGCATACATTAAAATGGAATTTTGTTGCATACAGCTCTCAAAGGGTCACCATCTCCAATATACACTACATAAACATGATTAAATAAATAAATAAAGCAAGCAAGCAAGCATATACTCACATACCCACATATATTATATGACACAGAGAAACAACACAGCCTAGTTTGGATGTATAAATGTATATGACTAGGGAAATGAATCTTGTGTGTTTACCAGACAGATGGCATAGGGAACAAAGCTGTTACAGAATCTGGTAGTCCTGCTAGAAATACTTTGAAACTGCCTCCCAGAGGGGAGTAACAGAAACAGACCGTAAAGTGGTTGTGTGGGGTCTCAAACAATGCTTTGAGCGCTAAGCACATAGCGCTTATAAGCAGTATCCTGAATAATGGGAAGTGAGTTTCTTATAACCTTTTTGGCTGTCCTCACCACTCTCTGAATGGACTTTCTCTCTGAGGCACTTCAGCCACCAAACCAAACAGTGATGCTGTTTGTTAAAACTCTCTCAATTGTGCCTCTGTAAAAAGTGGCCAGGACAGAAGGAGAAAGATGTGTTTTCCTCATCTGATGCAGAAAATGCAGATGCTGGTTTGCATGCTTCACTAAGGATGACATGTGGAGAGACCTACATAGATTCTTTGGGGAAAAAAAGTAAACACACATTTTGTGCTAGAAAAACAACAACATTGTGTTATTCCAAGTTTTTTAAAAATGTTCCTTTTTCAAAAATTAATTTATGTAAGAGCCAGCTGCTATGCTGTGTTTTTATATGCAATTTTTAACAGTCGAAAATAAGTTCTAGTGATTAAAATATATAAAAAAAATCCAGGTCATATTTTCCTAAGGTAAGAAAGGAGTGGCAAAAAAAAAAAAAACCACACAAACAAAATAAAGAAAAAGAAATAAGCTGTATAATTATGCATTGTATAGAACTGCAAAGACATCTGCAAAGTGCAAAATCAAACTACGATTTCAGAGGAGCCAAAGATGTTGACTGGGAGTTAATTATCACTGACTTTGTTCAACCAACTGTCAAACACAAGAGAATTCTCACACCTGTGCTCAGTGTTTGAGGTGATCAGGTATCAAGGTAAAAAAGGAAAAAGGCAAATGCCCTGGGATTTGCTTAGCATTTTTTTCTTCTTCTGCCTCTTAATTTCTTCCCACTGCTGAATCAGTAGGTTCCTTTTTTGTCAGCCTGTATTCAGTCTGAACATCTGTAGTGCTGTCAATTGAGTTTTATGATATCAATAGAGATTTTTTTTTTTAAAAAAAAATGACAAATGGGGATTGATTTTACATTTGATCATTTGTGGTCTCCAAAAGATTTCTATAAGAAGATAGGGGTTTTTTGCCATCATCGCGGTAATTTTGGATGGTCCCTGAACAAGTAAGGTCTGCACTGTTGTTCTTTTCTGCCCAATCCTAATTAA